GCGAGAGACCAGTGACAGTGACGGGATGGGTGTGGGAACTACAGTCTACAGGCCGGGAACTAGCAGTGACGCGGAAAGGTTCGTGGGTGGCCCAGCGAGTGGAGGGGAAGGTCCATGCAACCACAGCAACTAATGTCCACGACTGCGTGGGTGTGGACGCCTGTGTGGACGCCTGTGTGGTACGTAAGGCATTGGATGGCACCAGCATCTGCTTGCTCCTATCTCATTGTTAAGGTATTGCTTACCCGTATGTACACGCAGTACGTCATCCCAAGCGCGTCTTGAACCGAGATGGTCCCCTCCATCTACTGCAAGACACCAACAAGTTGGCCGTTAAAGGCATATTTGGCGCATGGAGCACATCCACAACACGTCCGACATGCACAGCCGAGATAAGACGCGAAAAGACAGACCAGATCTGGCGTCTCATGCATCTTGTTTCTTCACGCATCATCCTGCCGATGCGCGCAGAGGATTGCGGAGCCATGGATTGTCTTGTGACTTGGCCCAGAAACCAATCAATGCGTCGCCGGCCATCTCTCATCATCTCCCACCACCACCGGGTCGTCATCGGCCATGCCGTCATTGCTGACCTAACTCCCTCTGCCTCCAACCTCTGCCTCTATCAAATCATCCTTGGGTCTGTTTGTCGAGTTTGCGCTCAGTACCACCACGTCTGCATCCAATGTGGTCTCTGGGATTCCCTGAAAAGTATCTCAATACTCCAAACATTGCATTTCAATAATTGTAGAGATAACTGGTGTAAAGGTCAAGATTACGAGGTGTATCTACCTAACAGTAAACTCAGCACCATCACCATGGGGCTGTCGGCTCAACGACGATCCCCGAGGGAGGGGCACAGAGGGGGTAACACGAGGAAGCGGGGGCACCCGCTATCTTATCGATAGACGGATTAGATAAGCCAGACCCGCAACAAATTTTTGATGGCTCGATAGCAAGTCGCGAACCGCTGCGACGAAAAAAAAACCCAAGGCCCGTCTTTCGTCGTGTAGTTGTAGTTGCAGGACCTCCCAACATCTTTGGGCAACGCCGTCATGGAGGACCAAGTACACAAGCCTCACCGCAAGTCGAAGGACAAGAAGGGCAAGGAGCACACCGGGGGTGAGCCTTCTGTCTTTACAAACACCCGCCAATCCGAATACTGACGAGTGCGCAGAGAAGAACCCAAAGGCCTTTGCCTTTTCTAACCCCGGAAAGCTTGCCAGGTCGGCCGCGAGATCTTCAGATGTGCGGCCTTACTCCTAATCACATAGCATACCATCAACTAATTTGTCTCAAACAGATCAAAGAACGACGCTTCCATGTCCCCCAAGTCGATCGCCTCCCCGACGAGCCGCCACCGAGGCTGGTCACCATCGTGGGACCGCCCGGTGTCGGCAAGACGACCCTCCTCAAGTCCCTGATCCGACGATACGCAAAGGAGACTCTGTCCGACCCCCAGGGCCCCATCACCGTCGTCACCTCCAAGAAGCAGCGATTGACCTTTGTCGAATGCCCCAATGAGCTCGAAGCCATGGTCGACATGGCCAAGATCGCCGACATTGTCCTCCTCATGATTGACGGCAACTACGGATTCGAGATGGAGACAATGGAGTTCCTCAACATTCTCGCCGCCACCGGTATGCCCGGCAATGTCTTTGGCATCCTCACGCATCTCGACCTGTTCCGCAAACCCCAGGCGCTCAGGGACGCCAAGAAGCGACTCAAGAAGAGGCTCTGGAGCGAGCTGTACCAGGGCGCGCACCTCTTTTACCTCTCCGGTGTCATGAACGGACGCTATCCCGACCGCGAAATCCACAACCTCTCGCGCTTCCTGTCCGTCATGAAGAACCCCCGCCCCCTGATCTGGAGAAACTCCCACCCGTACACCATCATCGACAGCTACCGAGACATCACCCACCCCACAAAGATTGAGGAAGACCCCATGTGCGACCGGTCGATCGTGCTGTCGGGATACCTGCGCGGCACCAACATGACGCAGCAGGGGCAGAGGGTTCACGTTCCGGGACTGGGCGATTTTACCGTGGCGAACCTCGAAGTCATGCCCGACCCGTGCCCGACCCCAGCCATGGAGCAAGCCCTCGCCAAGGTGACCGGCAAGACAACACGAAGACGCCTCGACGAGAAGGAGAAGAAGCTCTACGCGCCTTTCGCCGACCGCAGCGGTCTCAAGATTGACGGCGACGCCATTTGGATCACGAGGGAAAAGGGTTTCACGTTTGACAGAGACGCGGAGGACGGCGGCGAGCGCGGCGAGGGCGAGGAGCTCATCATGGGACTCCAGGGCGAGCGAAAGCTGCTGGGCCAGACCGAGGAGGGCGTGCAGCTCTTCAAGGGAGGCGAGCAGCTGAAGCAAGTGGCCGAGGAGGAGGACACGGGCAGAAAGACGCAGCGCCACGCACGTTTCGCGAACCGCGACGAGGACTCTGACGCCGATATTGACGACGAGGGATTCGTCAGCGGCGAAGACGAGGGCGAGTCTGATGTCGAGGAGGAGTTCAACGAAGGCAAGCTGGGCAAGATGTTCCGGAAAACCGCCGACAAGGACGCCCAAGAGGACGACATTGCCTTTGCCGACAGTGACTCGGATCTCGGCTCAATATCGGGGCTCGAAGACGAGGATGGGGAGTCTGACGAAGACATGGACGACGAAGACTTTGATTCGGACGAGGAGGCGGCGGCCATGAAGTGGAAGGAGAACATGGCAGAGCGCGCAAAGAAGCTCCACGGCAAGCGACGCTCCTACCACACACCAGACCTGGCCAGGTTCATGTACGACGAGAAGCTATCGCCCGACGAAGCGCTGCAAAAGTGGCGCGGTGAGGACCTGCAGGAGGAAGACATTGAAGCGGAAGAGGACGACGACTTTTTCCAAAAGTCCAAGCAGGACAAGGAAGACAAGGTCGAGGACAGATCGATACCCGTGTACGACTACCAAGACCTGGCGGCGAAGTGGTCACAGGCGGCGGCCGTCGAGGCTCTGCGGAAGCGCTTCACCACGGCGGGCGTGCGTGACGACGAGGATGGGGATGACGACGACGAGTTTGACGGCATCGACGATGACGAGGACGGCGAGGACGACGAAGGTGACGGTGTCTTTGAGGACCTCGAGACGGGCGAGCAGCACGGAGGAGACGCCGAGGAGCCCACAGAGGAAGAAGCCTTCGACACGGAGCGTGAAAAGAACGCGAAGCGCAAGGAGGAGCTCAAGCTGCGGTTCGAAGAGGAAGACCGCGAGGGTTTCATGAACGATAAAGCCAACGCCCGGCGGGAAGGCGCAGCAGGCGACCAGGAATTCGGCGAGGACGACTGGTACGAGGCGCAAAAGGCCGTCATCCAGAAGCAGCTCGATATCAACAAGGCCGAGTTCGAGACGCTGGACGAGCGGCAGCGGGCGGCCGTCGAGGGCTACCGCGCCGGCAAATATGCCAAGATTGTGCTCGAGGGCGTTCCCGCCGAGTTTGTCGAAAAGTTCAATCCCCGCAACCCCATCATCATCGGTGGCCTCTCCCCGACCGAGGACCGCTTCGGCTTCGTCCAGGTGCGCATCAAGAAGCACCGCTGGCACAAGAAGATTCTGAAATCTAACGATCCCCTCATCTTCTCCCTCGGCTGGCGCCGCTTCCAGACGATGCCCATCTACAGCACCTCGGACTCGCGGACGAGGAACCGCATGCTGAAGTACACGCCCGAACACACGCACTGCTTCGCGACCGTCTACGGTCCGCTCATCGCGCCCAGCACGGGCTTCGTCTGCTTCAACTCCTTCTCCCCCGAGAACCCCGGCTTCCGCGTCGCGGCCACCGGCACCGTCCTCAGCGTCGACGAGTCGACCGAGATTGTCAAGAAGCTCAAGCTCACGGGTACCGCCGACAAGATCCACAAGAACACGGCCTTCATCAAGGGCATGTTCACCACGGCGCTCGAAATCGCCAAATTCGAAGGCGCCGCCATCAAGACTGTCTCGGGCGTCCGCGGTCAAATCAAGCGCGCCCTCTCGAAACCCGAAGGCCACTTCCGCGCCACCTTTGAGGACAAGATCCTCTACAGCGACATCGTCTTCCTCCGCGCCTGGTACCCGATCAAGCCCCACCGCTTCTACAACCCAGTCACCAACCTCGTCGGGTGGCAGGCGATGCGCCTCACCGGCCAAGTCCGCCGCGACGAGGGCATCGACACGCCCCTCGAGAAGAACAGCCAGTACCGCAAAATCGAGCGCGAGACGCGACACTTTAACCCCCTGCGCGTCCCGCGCGCCCTGGCCGCCGACTTACCCTTCAAGTCGCAAATCGTCCAGCAGCGCAAGCAGAAGAAGGAGACGTACATGCAGAAGCGCGCCGTGGTGCTCAACAAAGAGGAGAAGACGGCGCGGAACCTGCTGCAGCAGCTGTCGACGATCCGCAACGATAAAGTGGCCAAGCGCGCCGCCAAGAAGGAGGAGAAGCGCGCCGAGTACCGCAAGAAGGTGGCTGCCTCGGACGAGAAGAAGGAGGAGCGGGAGAAGAAGGAGAGTAAGGAATTTTGGCGCAAGAACGGGCGGAAGCGCCAGGCGACTGACGACGGTGGTGGTGGTCAGAAGCGTAGCAGAAAGTAAATATTCGGAACACGGAAAACGGGGACTAAAAAGCAAGTCAGAGAGACAGAGAGAGTATATGTAATCAAGGGCGCTTGGCTGTCACTTGCATTAGACGGCGCAGGCTGTGAAGCCTCTCAGTAGGGTATCTAACATCAAAATCATTTCCTTGATACATGCCCGTCGTTTGTGTCTAGTTGCGCCTCTCCAGTTGCATACTCCAAGCCTCTGATGGTTTTCAGGAGGACTTCGCTTTGCAATGATTAAGAGGTCGATGACTTGCTGCGACACGATACTCACAGAAGAGCGTCGATGGCTTCAATCAGCTCTCAGGCTGTGCCGGATACGCCTGGGTGATTCGGCCAGAACCATCTACCTGCCAGCCATTAACATCATACGTGACGACTCAAACCGTCGCCATTTTCGTCTTGATCATGGCTAACTCGGAGCTCTTCGCCCACGTGCCGCTCGGCGTCTGCCGGTAGCATACAAGCTTGCCATCGTCCCCAGTACTGGCCAAAATCTGCCCGTCATCGTCAAACCCGACGCGCCAGACGGGCGTGCGGTGGCTGTCGAGCTTGGCAACCTCCTTGAAGACGTGCTTCACCTGCCCCGGCTGCCCCGAGAAATGCCGTTCCACATGCGAGCCAGACTTTGCCAAGCTCGCGCTGAGCCCCGATTGATGCTGCTGCTGCTGCTGCTGCTTGTCGTTCGGCTGCCCCGCCTTGGACGATGCCTGCGCATAGTGATTCTCGTGCCTGGTGAGCTCCGTCGTGGCCCACGTCTTGCCGTCGTGGGCCAAGTGCGGCGTGTCGATGCGGAACACGCGCACGGAACCGTCCTGGCACGCCGTCGCGATGGTGTCGTATCCTCGAATGTTCCCCGTCGCCCACGCCACGTCGCGTACGAGGCCGCGGTGGACGCCCACCTCGACGGCAAGGTAAAACTCTCGTTGTGTCTGCGCTACGCCGTACGAAGTCGCAATGACGTCCCTCGAGCGGTAAATCTTGACCGACGACATGCCCGCCACGACCAGCCCCAGCGAGTCGCTCGCCACGCCCGCCCTCAGGGCATTGTAGCACGGGTCCAGGTTCGGATCGAAGCGGACCTTGAAGCTGATCTCCTCGCCGCGGCTCGGCTTGGGGCATATGCTCAGCTCGTCGATTTGTGTGTATTCCGACATGTTTTCGGGCTGTTCGTTCTCGTACACCACCAGGCGGCCCTCGGTGGAGAGCAGAGCGAGATACGTGTGCCGCGTCTCCTCGTTGTGTTTCATGGAAAAGGAGCGGTAGGGGTATTTGGGAGAGCGCATCTCGTAGGCGGCTTTGCTCGTCGTCGCGCGGCTGCTGGCGCTGAATCGGCGGCCCGGAGCTGCTGAGGGGTCTTCCGCCCACAGTTTGAAGCGGCCTTCTATGCCAAGAGAGGCGATGAGGTTCGGGTAGACTGTCGGGGGAAGCCATTGGAGCTGGGGGGCGGCGAGGCAAAGGTCAGCGAGGTTTCGCTAGCGGCGGTTTCACTCGCAGCGCAATTGGATGCTTCATACCTCGAGGATCTCGCCGCCGTGGGCTCCCCAGGTGTCGCAGTGGTGCCAGACGCCGTCCTTGTGCCGGTTAAAGACCTTGATCTTGCCGTCTACGGACCCTGTCGCGCACCGGTCGCCGTAGGCGTTGAAGGCGACGGCCTGGACGAGGTCCTGGTGTCCATGCTGGACGTTGAGGTCGAAACCGGTCTTTTCTTCGGCGATTGCGGGTACTTCGTGAGGGTATGTCGCCATCTTGCGCCGAATTGGTTGATGGGGAGCTGGTCACAATACTCGTACAGCGAGGTCGTGGTGTTGTAGGTGACCGAGTTGAAGGTCGGGCGAGGGAGCTTTCTGCCCCGCGCATTTAGCTGCGGTACGTACCGATTCAGAGTCCCGACGGTGACAACCTCAACTTCAGTCAAACATGTAATGACAACAGAGGTTTCAAAGACCAACTTGCAGTTACAATTACATCTAGGGGACTTGGTAATATGTCTCTAACGGATGTTCAAGTTGACAGAAGCCCAAAATCGCTGCCAATTGTCCTCACGACAATCCAAACAGTCACTTCGATGGATTAACGCATCACGACACAAAATAGACATTTCGGGGTCTCCAGCAATCATTTGAGGGTTTTGGGGAATAGTTCAAATTCAAATCAGGCTGTGTCATTCCATTCTAAATCAGAGAGCCCTCGGTCTCACAGGTCTGCAACACGGCTTACTCAATCAGTCCTCCTCAACTTCAATACGTAGCTCCTGTAACTTTTCATAGAGAGCCGGTATGCCTTTCCCAAATGCAAGTGAATGGGGAACATCCTCTAGGGGATGAACCGGCCCGTAGCTGACATTCTCAACAGTGACCAACAAGTTGCGCACAAAGTTGCCGTCCCACAGGTTTTCTCGCTGCGGGTAGTTTCGCAGCACTCCCAGGGCTTTCCCCTGGATAACGGGATCTTGACAGGTAACGAGTATAAAGTAGAGGGGCGGTATAATCCCAATATCGAGCGTGAACGACCGAGGCAGTGGCCCAGTTTCTCGCTGCTTGGTAACCAACCCTTGATGCAGCAGGGTAGCCAACGCCACGAGCTCCCCGTGCTGAGCGACGACGTCAGGCGACTGCTGCCTCTGGTGCGGCTTCTGATGTAGTGTCTGACATATCAGACGCGCGCACTTGTAGTGAAGCATGTCGAGGCAGATGGAGTAGTGCTCTTCTGTACCGCTCGCTGGCGCTTGGGGCGTCTCCATGAACCGTTGGAAGAGACCCGTCAGGTGGTCGCCTCTTTCCATGAGGATCTCGTGCTGGCGATGCGGTACGGGACGAGCCCAGAACTCGTCATCGCCTTGTTGCTCCTTTGTCAGCCAGACCAGGGCGAACACGTCACGCGTGTATTGCACAATGGCCCGGTGCGCATCCGTAATGGTCTCGAATTCGTCCAGCAGTGTGCCGTCGAGCTCTCGCCCCTCGTACAGCTTGATGGCGATAACGGGCTTGAAGTTCTCGGCAAAGAGCGCGCAGGAGGTTTCCCACGTGGCGGAGAGCCTCAGGATGTAGTCCATTGCCAAGACGTCTTCCGAAGGGTCTGCACTCGCATGAGCGGGCACGGCGTCTCGCAGCTCGTTGAGCGTGCTCATGGGCAGACTCTCAATGATACGCAGGCCGTTAGACAGATGTGTCAGTGCCGGTCGCCAGTTATTCCGCAAGGACTCGATGCAGACAAACGACACGCAGCAGAGGAGAGTGACGGTGATTCTGTCCTTCATCGGAACGTGGGCATAGCTGGAGAGCTTGGACATGGCCATGCCATACTGCTGGATGGTGAAGATTTCGAGCTCGCGGGGAAGCGCCTCTCCGCCTCGGGGGGCAGCCGTCTGATAAATGTGATACGCGGAGCCAAGGGCGACAATAACATGCTTCACGGCCTCGTCCGAGTGGCTTAGCTGGGTTGCGATGCGACTCCAGAAACTGGTGAGATTCGTGACATGGTTGCAGAGGCCGGCCTCTGCCATGCGGCGGAAACGGTGGAAGTAGACGCGCTCTGTGTGCGTACCGTCAATGTCGGCAACGAGGGGACGCAGTAATCGAGGGTTTTGGCTTTCAGACAAGACTCGAATGAGTAGATTCTGGGGAACGAGGGCAACACTGTCTCCGGACCGAATCGGCAGGGCTTTGTCGTAGCCGTCGCAAGCTCGCCCTGTTGACGTGCAACGCGAACAAGCAGGCCGCTCCTCTCCGCATTTAATGCGTCTGATTCTATTGGATGGGTTAGCATTGGCGAAAGATTAGTCTCAAGTTGAGGTCTTACTTGCTGCCAACGAGTCAGTTTTGGGTCAAATACAACGGGTCCAAGAGACTTACCAAGTCAGACACCCGGTTCGCACTTTGGGTTTACTTGCTCTTTTGCGTTTCGCAGTGATCGTTGCCTTCTCAAGGGTAGGTGTGGCATTGCCGCTTTGATGTGATGTAGATGCCATTCGCAACGAAGCAGCCGGTAGATCTAGTAATCCCGGGCTTTGTCTCTAGGGCTGCGATGGATTGCGGATCGACGACGGGATTGGCCGACCAGTCATGTCAATCATGAAGTAATCTGACGAGAAGCTCCTCCTTGTCCATGCCCAATTAAGCAGCATTGGCAGCGTCCTCGATGCCAAGGCAAGGTGACGTCCGGTCCAAGCCGCGGAGCGTGTTTTCGGAAGGTTGAAGTTGAAGTTGACAAGAAACCAGAGACAAAACCTCGTGGACTAGACGATTGAGTTTCGGGCAGAGGAGACTGCGCGCAATCAACCACAACGGGCAGCAAATTATATTTGATGAATGGGGCGAATCCAACTCAAAGTTGACGCGACTCGGTTATTATCCGTAGTCGTTACTGGCGTGGAGTTTCTTTCGTCTTTATTTCTTCGCCCCACCAGCCTCTCCGACCCTCCGTCGAAGGCCGGTATTGGACGCCTAGGCAACGGACTCGATAATTGAAGCTGAAGAGTTGCGACCAGATTAGGAGGTGTGTTTGTGTTCTAATCCGGGTATTTGGGACGAGGACGAGAATCTATATTACATAAAATGCCTTGCAGAGCTATTCCCGTTATGGCCTAGAAGATTCCTTAGTTGCCCACCCCCGCAATTGACACTCATCACTGTTCAACATCGAGCCTCGGTGAATCATCCAATGTATATTCATCCAGTATACAGAATACACCACGAGAGAAAGCCCTCATATACCCCTCCAGGTTCATTCCTGTCACCAGCCAGCGGGCGCCCCTTTGGGGGTCAGGTCAAAACTGGCTGGGTGGTGGAGTGGTTGAAGTCCACGAACAGCCTAATCGGTGAAGGCTAAGAGGTCCCGTGTTCGAGTCCCAGCATGTGCACCCAGAGATGTAGCCCCCATTCGCCACCGGGGAGGGTGAACTCTTGTTGGTTCTAGTAAATAATCAAAATGTCGAATTGCAGCGATCGTAAGCAATGGGGTCACTAAGCATAGGAAGAGGCCGCGATGGGATACCAATTTACGATTATTACGTACCCTGTTCTCTCTATGTACTGAATCCGTATCCATACTCTCTCTAATCATTATCATTACTTCACCCTCGTCTACGCACCCATGTCTCCCGGCCTTAGCTGACTGGCACGTTGTTTGGCCCGCTGCTGCTTCTTATTCTTCTTGATGTTCTTCCACTCCATAAACAAGGCGCAAACCAGCGTGGCGAGAGACAGTCCCATACCAGCCAGAAAGATGCGTGTGCAGGCGTAGTTGTACGCCCGAACAACCACGTCCAAGAACTGCGCCGGCACAACGTTATGCAGGTTTGTGGCACCAGTGTTGACGATAGCCTGCGCAGACAGGCCAGGGATGCCAGAGAGCTCCGACACGAGCAGGTTGGTGAGGATGGACTGCCCGACGGAGACGAAGATGGCGGCTCCCAATTGCTGGGCAAAGAAGCTGATGGAGACACCGGTCGACACGTCCTCCTTGGGGAGAACCGCCTGCACCGCGAGCCCGACGGTCTGCATGCCGAAGCCCAGGCCGAATCCGGTCAGGAATTGGTAGCCGATCCAGTGCCCAGAGCTGATGCCTGGATAGAAAGTGCTCATCAGGCCCAGACCGACGGACATGATACACGGGCAGAGAATCATGGACGGCACGTAGTATCCGATCTTTTGTGTCGCGCCGCCCGAGATGATGGAGGATACCACGATGCTGAGGACGAGAGGGATGGTGTAGATTCCCGAGTTGACGGGGTTGGCTCCCTGCACGGCTTGGACTGGAAGGTGTCAGCGCGCTCATAATCAAGTTAGATCACATTACTTACACCAGATGGGCAGGTAGTATACTGCCAGCATCATGGAGCCGGCCAAGAACAGCATAAAGAACGCGCCCGCCAGCATCGTCCTTTGCTTGATAATCCTGACAGGCACAGTGGCGGTCTGGGGCATGAAGACCTGCACGGCAGCGAACGCCATGAACGCGACGCCGAACACGACAAACAGCGCGATGATGCGGCCGTCGTTCCACGCATACTCTGATCCACCCCACTCGAGCGCCAGGAGGAGAGACACCACGGACGGGACGAAAAAGAATGTTCCCAAGGGGTCGAGCCGCTTAAAGTGCTGGAACAGAGTGGCCGACTCCTGAGGTTGCCGCCTGGGGGCCTTGAGCATGAAGAATAAGAAGACGAACGCAACGCCTCCAATGGGGAGGTTAATGTAGAAGCACCATCTGTTCATCGTTAGTTGTGTCAAAGTCTATGTTCCCGAAGCACATACCTCCATGTGACGTTGCTCGTGAAGCCACCGCCAACCAAGGGTCCAATGACGGATGCCAGGCCGAACACCATACCAAAGATGCCTTGGAACATGGGCCTCTTATGCAGAGGAATCATGGGAATCATGACCATCATCGCTCCCGTAAAGATGCCAGCCGAACCGACGCCGGCAATGGCTCTGCCAGCAATGAGTACCGGTGAGCTCGGCGCAACACCGCAGATGAGCGAGCCGATTTCGAAGATGAGGATGCTTCCAAGGAAAGCTCTACCGTAGTGTTAGAATTGTTTCAAGTCAGAGACCATCAAGACTCACCCCCTCAGACTGTAAAACTTGTAGATTCTACCAAACACCAATTGTGAGGCCGCAGTCGTGAGCATGTACGCCGAACCGTACCAGCCAATGTCGCCCAGACTTTGGAACTCATCAGTGATGCGAGGAATGGCCGTGGCAATGATTGTACGATCCAGAGCAACGAGAAACATTGCTACAAAATTGGACAAAATGACGAGCCAGAAGGTGATGGTTTTTGGCTTGAAGTTTTCCTCGGCTTCATCAAAAACGGGCGGGGGCCCCGTGGGTGGTCCACCCTCAATATCGGCCTTCTCATCGACATCTTCGTCGATATCTGGCTGCTTCGATACATCAGGATGGCTTTCGTTTGCTGATATCGCCGAGGACTGGACTGTTGCCTTTTCTGTCGGTCTCTCGCTCTCAATCTCGGGCTCGATGGGCTTCTCCTCGGATGACTTCTTTTCCTGCCGCTCGTCGCTCTCTCGCGGGGTCAATGTCCGCGTGGAGCTGTTGGACGTCTGCACCTCACGAGTCTTCTCTGAGGCGGTATCACCCTCGACGGGCCTCGCTACGTCCGCCATGCTGAAGTTATCGTGGGGGGTTTGACGACAACAGCGGGCTTGAGATGTATTGGAAACTCGAAGGGTAAACAAAAGAATGCAGCGGCACACAAATCTTTTTCGCTTGGCAGCGGGAAAACGTCGATTAATGGAACGGGCGAGGGAGCTAGAGGTTCGTCCGGACTCGCAAGCGCACGGTCAGATCTCAAGTTACAGATCACGTTCGGACCATGAGCTCGTCTGGCGGGAGAGACACTAGGACGGGGTCATGGAACTAAGAGGCGAGGATCGCTATATATGGCGAGTCTGGCCATCCTACCTTTATCCACAGGCAGAACGCGGTGACCGGCAGCATAGTGACAAAAGGGCGCGACGCGAAGCCACGCAACGCCATCATAGCCCGCATAGGAATGTCTCACAAGAAGAAAAGTCATGACGAGATCCAGAAGCTGACTTGTCAAGGCCGATGGGGATGTCCAGAGGAGGATCGCTTTGCCCAGCTCTCGCCCTTGTCTTTTGGTGGTGTACGGACATGGCGTTGCAGTTGCTCGGGCACCGGAGGTCGATGTTGTGTCCGGGCAAGTGTGGGACTTACCCTCTTCCGGATTAGCGCCGGGTGCTCGGGTATCTCGCAGCAATCTCTGGCTTACCTAAGGCTCTCTCCATCAGGCAATCCAGCTGAAAAGCTTGGGCCACCTTCGACCCTTTGCAGACGCGGGCCACGGGGAGAGCATCGCCGATGTGACCCCCTTCGGTCCCGGGCGGGTAACGTAGCTGACCGCAGTCCCCGCTCCCTCAGATATTCATCTTACAATCATTCGGTTTCTTTTGACCTCAACACGAGAAGGCCCAAGTTAAGCAAAGAGCCTCAATTCTTAGCACCGGACTGACCAAGTTAGACAGTCATGTTGTTCGTCTCATAGGCTGGTCGTCCCCGTATGTGACCTCTGCAGACTATACTCTCTGTCACATCACCCCCGATTGCCTTGTACGAATTGTGATCCGCATCGCCCGTCTCTAAGCTCTTGCTTGCTCGTTTCTGGCTATCTACACGGCCCGCATACAGGATTTGGCCCTTCATCCGGCGGTTCCCACCTATCCCGGAAGCATCTTGTACACCATCACCTCAATAGCGTCTCGGTCAATAATACAGCTTCCTCCGAAAGAGAAGACGAACCCTGGCAAGAACTTGGCGGCAGCATCTGGAGGGGCCCCCATCTTGCTTCTTCATTGGATCTCTTACTCTTTAGACTCATATGCTGCATCCCGTCAACGTTTCGCCTGCAAACGTCACCCCTCGGATCCGAGTTGGGAACAAGCCCGCCGACGAACCACGTCTGCAAGGTGGCTGACTGTCGCGTCGTTGTTGCATCCTAAGACCCCCAAAGGCGAGAGGCATCCACATAATACTGAACCATGTCGTCGGGAGAAGCCCAGCTCCCACCCCCGCCGAGGGCAGTTCCTCCACCCGCACCCGAACCCGACCCCATGGCAGCGATGAAGCTTACCAGGGGGACCTCGTGTGTGCTGTGCCAGCAACGAAAAGTCCGCTGCGACAAGAACAAGCCTTGTGCCAACTGCGTAAAGGCCCGGGTAGAGTGTCGAGTAATACCACCACAACCACCCAGAAGGCGCAAGAAGCGTCTCCAAGAACGCGATCTCGTCGACCGCCTCAAAAAGTACGAGTCGCTCTTGGCGGAGAATGGCGTCAAGTTCGACCCCATCGCCGCCGAGCTCAAGGCCGGCGATAGGAACTCGACACACCTTGACGACGACCACATGCTCGACGAGGATGCCGACCTCGCAAACGACTTCGAGGGGCTAAAGACGTCTCCCGAGGGGAGCACATCCCCTTCCGTGGCAGGGAGCCGGAGATCGCAGTCCGACAAGTGCGAAGACCCCCCTACATTACACTTGATCGTCAGCTAACTCGATCCCAACTAGACCATTTAGCAAATGGTTTCCCTTTCACAAAGAGGTTCGCTCCCTTGACTTGCTTTGATATGCGCACCGCTGACTTGAATCACAGTTCCGAGCCAGCGAGGAGCTGCTCAGAGACTCGTCAGAAGACGAAGTCGACGGCTCAACCATCCACCACGCCTTTGACAAGATGTACGACAACCAGGACGGCTTTCCATTCATCGTGGGAAGTCGAAACGCCTCCGTGACGCATCTCCACCCATCACCTATCCAGATCTTTCAACTTTGGCAAATCTACATTAACAACGTCAACCCCCTCCTCAAAATAACACATGTGCCAACGGTACAGGGCCTCATCATCGAGGCCAGCGCCAACCTCGAAAAGATCCCAAAGAGTGTCGAGACACTCATGTTTGCCATATACCTCATGGCAATCACCTCTCTAGAAGACGTCGAGGTGGCAAAGATGTTCAACGAGCCAAAGCCCACCGTCCTGTCAAGGTTTCATACCGCGCTCCAGCAGGCCTTGGTCAACGCAGGCTTTATGCGGACGAGCGACACGATGGTCCTTCAGGCCTACATGCTCTACTTGGTAAGTCAGCACACATCATTTTCGAGAAGTACGCTAACAACCTAGATCGCCGTTCGCATGTTCGTCGACCCGCGCCAAATATTCTGCCTCGTCGGTATCGCCGTGAGGATAGCCCAACGGATGGGCCTCCACCGCGACGCCGCCGCCTTCGGCCTATCCCCGTACGAAGTCGAGCAACGCCGGCGACTGTGGTGGACCATTGTAGGCTACGACCGCCGGATAGGAGAGATGACGGGGTCGACCGTGACGGCCCTGTCCACCGCCGCCGACTGCAAGCTGCCCCTCAACATCAACGACACAGACCTTCACGTCAACGGCAAGGACGCGCCGACGCCGCACCAGGGCGTGACGGAGATGCTCTTCGTCCTCATCCGCACAGAGCTGGCCATGGCCATCAGCAGCGACAGCTTGCGCGACGGCCAACGCCATGGCGATAAGGACAAGGACGCCGCCGCCGCCGGCACCGGCAATGGGCCCCAGGCCCCGCCGCGTCCCATCTCGACGGTGCGCATGGCCGGCCAGGACCAAGTCTACACCCTCGACGGCTTCTTCGCACACATTGAAGGGACGTACCTAAAGTGGTGCGACCCGAAAATCCCACTACACTTCTTCACCCTCACCATGACGCGGCAATCGCTCTGCAAGATGCGCGTCATCTCCTTCCTCGTGCGCATGGGCAACGGCGAGGCGACGACGCTGGCGGACCACGAGCGCGATACGCTCTTCCTCGAGGCCATTCAAATGATTGAGTACGACAACGTCGTCCAGGCCGCTGATAGCTTGCAGGGGTACAAGTGGTACACGTACCTCCACTTCCCGTTCCCCGCGTACATGTTTCTGGTCACGGAGCTGCGGCATAGGTTGACGGGGCCGATGGTCGAGAGGGCGTGGGATGCTATTGCCGAGAACCATGAGCGAAGGGGGTTGATGAGCACGCTGCACAGTCCCATGCACATTGCGTTTGGGAATCTGTTCATCAAGGCGTGGGACGCGCACGAGGCTGGGCAGGAGCAGATTGGGAGAAAACCGGTGCAGGAGCCCATGTGGATCACGAGGCTGAGGCAGCGGGCGGAGAAGATGGGGAAGAAGCAGCACCGAGGTGGCAGCGGTGGTCGTCGGCCCGGGCCGGAGATGGGCATGGGTGGCGGTCCCGGTGTCGGAGTGGGTGCCGGCGGCGTTTCGCAGCAGGCCGGTGGTGTGGGGAGGGCGGCGCCGGTGAACAATAGCGCGTCGCAGCTTCCTATGCAGCAGATCCCGCAGAACATGATGATGACGCCGCCATCCGTGACGGCGGGCACGCCGGTGATGAACCCACCTCCCTCCGAGGCCGACGTCATCGATATGGACTGGAGTTACCTGATGCAAGGGTACGATATGGACACGTACGGAGGTTTTGGAGGAGGCTTCGGGGGGTTTCCCATGGGGGGGAATGGTATGGGCGCAGGACCCGGCATGATGGGCAACCCGGACGGTAACAACTTGTTTGGAAATTAAAAGAAGGCCGGGTATATCTATCTGGGCCTTTTAACTATCTTTATTACGATGTAATGAATTCAACCGTGCCAGCGAATAGCACTATACTCTTTAGCAACCATTCGTCTTCCCAACCCACGCATCGTCCGCGACCACCTTTTGCGTAGAGTTGCACGCCGGCACCGTGAGCGTGCGGTTCCTCTCCTCGTAGAGGAAGCCGCAACTCTGGCGCCGCACGTAGACGTAGCTGACATTCGACCCTCCAGGAAGCTCGACGTCGACGCTCCAGAGCGGGCGCTCAGCGGTATACCCGGACGCCGACATGGGCTGTCCGTTGTCGACGTTCCACGCGCCGAGCTCGGCAATGTTGCCGAGGAGAGAGACGCCTTCGCCGTAGTACGTCGTCGCGTTGACGAGGAAGGAGACGGGCACGGTGCAGGAGCTCGTCACGTTGGGCGCGCCCGCGGCGATGGCGGGGACGTAGACGCCGGTCGTCGTCGAGGCGGCGCAGGTGGATGGGATCTCGGACGAAGCGGCGGGCACCCAGCTGGGCGGGTACTGGCCGGCGCGGCGCTCGGCCATGGTGATGAAGGCGGCGTAGGACCAGGTGAGGTCGCGGGCCGAGGTCGGGACGCCGGTGGTCTTGCTGAATTGCTCGGCGAGGGCGCCGTCGGCGGGGGTGTATTTTTGCGCGACCTCGACAAAGGAGTCGGCGTAGGCGTTGACGGCCTTGATGATGCCGGCGTAGTCCATGGTGGAGTTGCTGTTCTTTTGGTAGGTCGTCTCCCTGGCGGTCGGGTAGAGTTCCTTGAAGAAGGGGAGGGAGGTCGCGTCGACCTTGATCTGGCCGTGGGCGTTCCATTGCGCTACTGCGTCGTAGAGGAACTCGGCGGCACCGAGGGTGATGAGGTACCTGCGACTAATTAGCTATGTCTTGATGATCGAAGCGCAAATACTCACCAAGGGTTGCCGTTATAGTAGGTGTCCTCGATGTATCGACCGAGAGCAACACCTGTGCCTTCCGCGATCCCCTCGTTGACGGGGTAAAGTGTGCCGTTGCGGAAGGAATCGACCCAGACCTTGAAGTTGCTCAGAGCCTTGCTGTGGCACGGCTGGATGGACGGGTCCTCGCAGCTCGCCGCCACGTCAAAGACGGCAATCGAGCCGAGCATGACGTTGGCGTCCTTGCCGGAGCGCTGCGTCTGCGTGTTGACGTTGGCGACGTAGTACCCGTCCGCGGCGTCCCAGTACGTCTGGAGAAAGCACAGGACGTCCGGGGCCAGCTCACATCCCGTGCAGGTCGCGCCGAGGGTCTCGGCCAGGGCAGCTCCTTCGACGAGGGCGCGGTACTGGTTCTGGGTGGCGAAGAAGCTGGAGCCGCTGACTTCCTCCCACAGGTCGAAGCCGGTTGAGTTCCTGTTTGCGTGAGTTATCTGTCAAGCCACCGGGGTACTGCCCTGCTTACCAGTACTGGCCGGTGTAGGATAGATCATTCGAGATGATGGGCCAAATGATATCCTTGGCCTTGGCCTGTTGTCCGTTGTCGACGAGCCAGCGGGAGTATGTAATGAGGGTGATGGCTCTCAACGCCGGGCCATCTCTTTGCGGGCGACCCCATTCGCCGTTGAAGCGCGAGCCGTCGACCAGGTACTTTGCCTCGCCGAGGCCGCGGCCGGACGGGAGGAACGATCCGGAAGGGTTGCCGACGGTCTGCAGAACGGCCTGGGACTTGTAGTAGTCCTCGATGTGGACCTGGAGCTCGTCGTGTCCGAGGATGAACTCGTCGACAATCATCTTCATGGTCAGGGCGGCATCGCGAGTCCACGTGAAAAAGTATGGCAAAGTCAGGGAGAGAGCAACATTGTTTGGTGAACGAACTTACAGTCGGGGTCGGCCTTGGACGGGCTGGCGACGACGGTGCCGGCACTGGCGCCTGCAACCGAAGCACCATCAGGTCCAATGTTGCTCAGGACGCCATTAAGCGCAATGGTTCTTTGACTGGAAATGAAGTCGTCGACGAGGTCTGCGGCGGCAACGCTGGCAGCGAGGCCGACGGCACAGAGCAGCGTCTTTGTCAAAGTCATGTTTGTCGAGTATGACGAACCTGTTACTTGCTCAGTCCTTGAAGTGCCAGACTACAACATTTCCGGGTCGACGATGGGATGGGAAACTCTTATATCCCAAACGTATACCCCGAGACATATTCGTATAGCAAAGTGCGGGCCTAGCTGGGCACGGAACAACAATAGTAGCTCTCGAAGCTTATTACTGGCATCATCGTGCTGCAGATCCCTGCGTGTTCGTCCCAAATCGAACGCGGACAGGGATGGGGTCTCTTGGGTAGCATTGGGGATAGGGGATCGTCGTGGATCCGTCATTCGGACAGATGCGAGCAAAAGTCAATTCGGTCTATTCGGTTAGGACAAAACATCCAGCTAGCAGACTAGCTAGCAGACTAGCGAGCAGTATACTCAGTGCCTTGATGTTGCTATGAAGTGAGTTGTGAAGTGTGAAGTACGGATGTGAAGAGGAGAACAGCGTTGCGGGCCGATTGTCGTGCAGCACGCGGACTCTCAGGCTCGGTTAGACTGGTCGACCATGGGGAAATAAGTCCGCTCCCCAGGTCTAGCTGAGTTGGGATGCCACAGGATGACAATAGTGCGGGGAGCGACCAACCTCAACGATCTCTAACCATTGGTGTCGTTTCTGTAACTTGGTCACATTCGCGACTTCATCACCGGTACTTCTGAGACGGCCTCCAGGTGACCGGTTCGACTGAACACAGAATTCTGTGCGTGGATGTTGGGACCACACTGTAATTCCTCAGCCCTCCTGAACTCACTCTGCATGACTCGGATGGCCGGAGTTCGCGGCCACTCGCTTACGGGGTTTCCCTTCACATACGATGAACACCCTCCAATCGCTCAGGCTTCATCTCCTGTGCGGCTTGGCCAGATCAAGTCGGAAGTCAACGAGAAATTCTGTATTGTCAATCTGCCTCTGCCATATATGCCAATCTATAGGCCAATTAGCTGGCTCACCACTCTGCGCAGAGTTTCCGGTCCCTGCAACCCCATCGACGCGTTCCTGAGACTTAAGTCCTAAGTCCATCCCACACTGACACGACTGACTAGCCAAGCTTCTGAACTCTCACCCAGAGGTCCGACTGGATGAATATGCCAGCCGAGAATGAGCTCCACGACTTGGCAGGGTCAACCAGGGCGAAGTCAAATCGCCGAAGAAGCTATACGCGGAGTTAGACCTTTGCTGCCAAATTTGGGAAGTTCTCGCCGCGACTTACCTCCACAAACACCTTGTTCAACTCCATGAGGGCGACCGTCTTGCCAAGGCACTGCCACTTTCCATACTTGAAGACGAGTTCCCACTGCGCCGTCATCGCCTTGAGCTCGTCCTCGCCGGCCTCAAGCCACCGCTCCGGCCGAAACACGTCGGCGTCCGGGCCGTACACCGCCTTGGAGCGAAGGACGCCAAATGCCGTCCAGCCAATGTCGGTGCCTTCGGGGATGCTCATGCCGTGCATAAAGTCGCCGCCCGCGGGCACCGTCGTCGACATGAGACCGGTGACGGGAGGGAATACCCGCAAACCTTCTTTGATGACCGCCTGCAGGTACTGAAGGCCGCCCGCCTCGCGATTAGTCACGGGAGATGAGATCACGCCCGCGTTGGCCGCCTCCCGCACCTCCTTGGCGAGCTTCGAGTAGCAGGAGGGGGACGTCATCAGGTAGAGCATGGTCGTTCGAATGGCGGTCGCCGTGGTGTCGGACCCGGCAATGATCTGGACCAATGTCTCGCCTTCGGCCTCCTCTCGAGTTAAGCCGTGTGCGAGGAACGAGCCAAGCATGTCTCGCCGCTTGGCCGTCTTGTCCGACATCAGCCTCTCCGCCACGACCTTTTTGGCAACACTAACTTTATGTCAGTTGCTTACGACCAGAAAGGGAAAAGAGGGCTACCCACGCGATGAACTTGCCGAACCCCACGCGGTCATGCTCCGATGGCATGGCTTGGCGGAATAGAGGCGACTGCAGCAGCTTGGCCAGTTGCGGGAATACCGAGAGCGTCATCATGGCAGGCATGCTCTGCTCCGTCATCTGGATGTACTGATGAACGTCGGCATCTTGCTCGACGTATCCGAAATGGTAGCCAAATGCAAGCGAGGTGATGATGTCCAGCGTGAGATATTGAACCTTTTGGCAAAGGTCCATCGGGCGAAAGGCACCGGTGGTCGAGACATACCGCTCCTCGATGAGTCTGATAAAGGCCTGTATCTGACCGTCGATGGCGGATTCGAGACCTTCATTCTCCTTACCCGAGTACTGGGACCAATGTGAGTATGAGGAGACGTACAGAGGATGTGGACTTACGCCGATGGCCATCTTGGCGCGCAGCTCGTTGTGCTCGTGGTCATCTCTCATGGAGATGAGGTTGTCCCTCGTGGGGTCGAACCTGACAGCCTCGTAGAAAGCGCCCTTGCGGTATGGCGAGCGAACCGCCCACATGCGACGAAGGATTTCCGAGTCATTGGTTACCAAGTCGTTGGGTCCGATGCGGACGACCGGGCCTAAAGCAAAGGTCCCTGTCAGCAGCCTGTCGAAACAAACACGCCGTTCGTCCTTGATGTTCCCTGGCTGAGCGGCATGTGTGTCTGAGACCCTTTTGGGGCGCCGGAACAAACCACTCAGCTGGGCGACCTAATGGTGTTTCTGGGATGAGAGGATTGACAAGAGCTCACTCACCATAGTCATCACAGGCTCGCTTGAGAGCGAGATGCATCTGCCCACCCAGTGTGTTACGTAGCATCCACCACTTGCTCAAGGCGGCACCTGGTGGTCCGGGGATGTGTCTGAGACGGTTCCATGAACGGTAGCTCAAGGATCCCAGATATATGAAAAGGGCCGTAAGGAACAGCAGAAGCGGGTTCCAGATGTGGCCCGAGAACTCGTTGATGGCCGTCATGGTGTCTCGGGTTGTTGAAGGTGATGTACGGTTGGTTGAGATGGGTAGGTGAGTGAGTTTGTAAGATGAGAGTGAAGTGAGAGAAATGATGGTGATGAGTGAGTCTGAGGAATGAGGAAGGGAAGGAAAGTTCGACCTGGCAGCCAAGTGGAGGCGACCTCTACGGAGGGCAACAGCGTTGAAGTATGCGTAGGCGACGGGCGACGGGCGACGAGAGCGCCTTCTTCCTTTGTCTGATTCAGTGTACACCACCCACAGACCACAGGGGAAAGAGCTTTCCAGGTTCGTAGCAATGGGATGGAAAGAGCAAGCAGCAAGCAGCACGGAAAGGGAAGCTGTGAATTTGGCAGCCGGGGTGAAGAAAGACACCGTACCTCCGTCCTTTCTTCCGATGATACCACCCATTGATTATGGAAGGGAGGCTAATGTAAGGTATCCCGGGCACCTCCTTCGGGCAAGATGGACCAAGGTGTCAAATGAGACGACGCGAAGAGAAAGAGGGAAAGACGGCAAAGAGCAGACCATGGCTTCCCTCATTCACCAAAACCACCACGTCTCGTGGCCCAACCCAATCCTCCACCCTAGTCTTTTTGACTCCCTTCTTTCCACTCGCTCCGTCCGTCGGTGATCTTCCTCTTCTTCAAGAATTCTAGCAAAGAAATAGAAATGTGAGCCGTCATATGCAGCGTCCCGTTCCACCCGCATGACATCGGGTTCCGGCCAGAGGCGATTATATGACAGGCATCTCGGTGAAGCAGATCGATGGCATCTCGGCACCTCGTCCAAGGACACAGAGATGACATATCTGTCAGAAACCTATTTCTTCAACTTTATCGACTCTTGCATCCAGATTGGCATCAAATTGTAATCAAACACTATGCCACCCAAGTCTACGGTAGAGGAGCAGCAGCCCTTGAGCTAAACTCCATGCTAAACTCCATCCTGCAGTTCTTGTCCGACAGCCATGGATACGGGTGGTCACAGTCGATGTGAGATTCCCCGTGGGCCGTTTTCCTGACTGCCACCCGTGGTGCCCCTCCCGAGCCGGATTGCAGCCACTCTAGTTTGGTCACACCGGTGCTCGAAGACAGCAATCAGTCCCGGGGACATCCTCGTCGTGGTGGTGATCGATGCATTCAGTCTATTATACCTCCACGACCTACAGGAGGCACATCTCCAGCATTGAGCTAGCAACTTCGACCGCTGACGGCGGCAACAAACCCGGCCGTATTTGCCTGTCCACCCGATGTTCTGCATGATTGTATGCAGGCATCCGGCCCTCGGCGAGACGGCCGATGACACGATGCCACGCTTCCCGGCTCTCAAAACGCCGCAACGTCGGCCACGACCACGTCTGCTTCCTCCTGTGGAAGGTATCATGCCCTGACTGGGCACTGACAGCTTGCTCCGTGGACGCTCCAAGCAGGATCAAGACAAACTCCGGCTGTGGCTGACGCGTGCATATGGTTTGTGTAAGGCACCGTTCACGCCAACACACACAGTGCTGTTACTGCCGCTACTGTATGTTGGTGCCCATGATGACCAAAGCCACTTGCGGATGGCGCCAAGCACTTGAAAAGGTGTTGGATCAAGCTTTTCTGTTGGAACCAAGTGCAGCAGCAGCAGCTTGCTTTCCAGACTGGCGAGGCTCCCGAGAGGGAAGTCGACCAGCCTTACGCATCGTTTCCCGCTGACCGTGACGTGCTGCGTGCTTCGTTGAGCCGACTAGGACTTGTCGACAACACGCCGCCTTTGGTGACACGGAGCCGAAGGCTCGAATGACAAGGAAGCCGCTTGTTTGTGTTGCCTCGTCAGAATTACCCCATCCGAACAATTCCCCTCGCTGGCGCGGGTGTCCTCTGTTACCCTTTTCAAAAGGCGTTTGGCAGAGGCAAGGGGATATCAAGCTGATGCGCCTTGCCAGTTTTCCATCTCTGATGTGATGATTCCTGTTTCTAGAGTTTTCTCTCTGTTTTCCAGAACTGCCAAACACAACTCGACAAACCATCGCTATGACCGAAACAGCGCCTGATGCGATGCATCAAATAGACATTGTTTTCCCGCACGGGACAAACGTTGACCTGGAACCAGATGAGGTCAGCACTCGGAAAAGGGGTCTGTGAGTGCTGGGATTTCGAGGGCATCTAACTAAGGATTATCCCAGGATATCGACGACGCCGAGATGCAGAGCCTCGGAGGGAGTGATGTTGACTCCGCACTGGGAGAAGTATGCCACTCAGGAGCGCGTACAGACAAAAACAACGCTTAAACAAACGGTAGTCAGAGGCATGGCCATCTTCGACCGCATCACTCCGATCGAGCATCGTACGGGCACGCGAGGAAAACGGGCGAATCTATCACGGATACAAGGACGGGAAATATGTCTTGCCCACTGATCAGGTATGTATGTACAAGCCAGGTGAGCCGCTCTGATTTAACTCGGTCCCGTTGCAGGAAGAACTCGATCGACAAGGTACGCCTCTCCTCGGACATGGCTTGACAGACATCTGACTGCCCGCAACAGCTTTTCAATATCAGCTCTGCCAGTTGACCTTTGAAAACAGGCTCAACTTTGCCCCCGTCCACCACCCCCACAGAGTTCTAGATGTTGGGTGCGGCATAGGGCTGTGGGCGATAGACTTTGGCGAGTAGCCTATCTTCAAAAAGGCGCCCAACATACTGACCCGTAATAGGCGAGGCACACCCCGAAGCCGAAGTTGTCGGCGTAGACCTCTCGCCCGTCCAACCTGGTTTGTGAGTTGCAAACGACATCAAAACCCTGATCGTATCTGACCGTTCTAGCACACCGCCAAACGTGCACTACGAAATCGACGACCTCGAGGAGGAGTGGAGCTTTTCTAGAAAGTTTGATTATGTCCACTGCATGATGATGACGGGCGCTTTTAGGGATTGGCAAAACTTCCACCAACAAGCCTTTGAGTATGTGATTCTCAGACCCCGTAGACACCCACAGCTGACGTAGTCTCGAGCAACCTAAATTCCGGAGGATGGTTCGAGATCCAGGATATCGACTTCCCCATGAGGTGCGACGATGGAACGATCCCGCCAGACTGCGACCTCGGTAGGTGGAACGAGCTCATGATGGAAGCCGGTCAAAGGTCGGGCTTCCTCCTGGATACCTGCGGCAGGGCGGCCGAGATGATGACCAACGTCGGATTCGTCGATATCGTGCGGATCCAGTTCAAGTGGCCAATCAACCAGTGGCCGCGCGACGTCAAGCACAAGACCCTGGGCGTCTGGACAGAGGCCAACTTCAGCGTCGGGCTGGAGTCCATGACGTTGGCCCTCTTCACCCGCTTCATGGGCTGGAGGAAAGAGGAGGTCTGGGACTTTAGCGCGAATGTCATTGCGGAGTGGCGTGATGTACGTAGGCATGGGTATTTTGACGTGTATGTAACTTATGGAAGAAAACCGTAAACGACCTGGGGCAAAACGTAAACGGATCCGGGGCCGGAGTGTTTCTCGCTCGAATGAAAGAAAGAGGCGTTGCAACGTCGTGTTTGCCGTCGACTGCCTATCGATTGATGATGGGCCTTTGCTATCGCCAGGCGGGTGGTGGCCCTGGCTTGACCTGGAAGCGTGCCGACACGAATGCTGTCAGACGTGCGCGTGCCCGCACTCCCAACAGGTCGAAGTACGCCGTATAATGTATGTTGTGTCACCAACGTCAACCCACCGGCCCAAGGGTACGAACAAGCGTACCGGGACGCCACAGCTTCGCCGTCACTTGCCGCGGCTGCATTGCCTGCGCGGGTGGACCTTTTGGGTGGTGTTGTCTGGCTGACTGGCTGCCGTCAAACACACATTCATCAGAGGGTGCAAAGACTGCAGCATTCTTGCCTCAGGTGGGCGGCTTTTGGGCCCAGACGGAGATCCACGGAAGATATCCATGTATGCGCGTGTCGTGGAACGCCCTCCGGATGTCCTGTTCCATGGTATCGGCTTCCTGCTTGGTGAGGCCCAGCTGCGCCCACTTGACGAGCACGGCGCGGACGAGCTGCCACAGTACGTCCTTGCTGAGGAACAGGCCGATCTCGCGCTGCTGGGGGTCCTTTGCCCAGGGCCCGATGGGCAGCTTGAAGAAGCGGTAGCGGATGTTGACGAAGCCGGCCTCGCGTAAGGTGTCGGGCAGGATGTTTGGGAACTCGAGGTCCCAGCCGTAGTGCGTCTTGAAGGTGCTGATGAACCTGTCCATGAATTTGGCGGGCGCGTAGTCGGGGGGCAGGGTGTTGTCATCGCACCCGATTCTGACGCCGGCGTCTTGGAACTCGATCCAGCCGCCTGGCCTGAGGTTTCTGGGTACCGGGGCGTTAGAAAGTTGGCTCAGCGAGAGATGACGAGGGAGGTCTTACTGGTACGCCGAATGGATGACCTTGACTGGCTGTCGAAGAGTCACACAGACTGAGCGCATATGAACAAAGTCCAAGTTGGCGTACAGCGGCGACCATGTCTCTTCAATGTCGTCGATTCTCCAGTCAACGTTTTGCGGCGCGTAACAGTTTTGGATGGGCGATATGTCTACGCCTATAACGTGTGCGCTTGGGAACTTGTCCGCGACTTTTGGTGAAGTCAGATTTTGGGACTCCTAACCGGCATGAATACTCAAGACTTACTGTCAACGGCCCAGAGACCGGTGCCGGTGCCGACGTCCATGATCTTTTGCGGATGGTCACCGATTGGTGCTAGGTAGTCGTTCTCATCGAGGAGGCGTTTTACCAGCTGGTGCTTCATCTCTTCACGGAACTGCTCCGTCTCGTCATTCGGAAGAGGGTAGATGCCTTGCAGAAAGGACTGGTAGCGTCTAAGGGTACGCAAGGCTTAGCTTCTGCGTTCTAGTCCAGGAAGACATCATGAGGCTACGCACCTTCCACCCTCGTGCGAGTGCTTCATCACACGGGAAGCGAGTGAGGTGAAGCCCGAAGACGCGAGCGATTCTCCATAGTCTGATCCTCCATAGTCTGATCCTCCATAGTCTGACCCCTCAAAGTCTTCTTCCTCGTCCAACGTGTTTGGTGGAGCAGGCTCTATGGGTTCGCTGCTGGACATGTTCATGATGGGCAGGTTTAGACACGACTCTCGAGGGAGCCGTCAGACCAGGGGGTGTGGTTATGGCGACACCGCTCGCGTGAGACGGTTCACTACGGCTGAAGTGGCTCCTTTGGTAGTGAATAGGGTAAATGGCCAAGTGTGAGTTCTAAAGTATCGGTGAGTATTCGGTATGAGCCGGCACGACGGTCTGAAGAAAGCTAGCTAGGTTCTGTGGCGCAATTCTGAGCGCAACTACCAAATGAACGTACAATGGTTGAACAAGACAAGCGTGAGAATGGACCACAGCATTGCCAGTCTTGCAGATGACTCGTTCGGCAAGCCCAGCTGGCTGCACGTAACAGAGAGAGACACGAACAAGCCGTGCGTTGTGAGTTGGAGAATAGAAGAGAGTAATGGGCGGCGGGAAAAGGGTTGGGAGAAAACCAGAGTTGAGGAATGAACGGTACCTGGTACTGGGGATCGGATTTCGTACCAACTGAATGGTAAACCAAACACCAAGCAACTCCTCCCCCCTGTTGGTGCTTCAAGTGTGCCCAGAGGGGTGGCACAGCGGTTGAATCGGTGCCAACAGGCTGGGGCGGTGTGAATGTCCGTCCGGTTCCAAGGCCACGGCGAGCTAGAGACAGCGCCGCATGCGGTGCCGGCAGCGGTGCGGCGGTACAGGATAGAAGGGCCGTTGGAGACTGGGCCGATCCAACAGTGAGCTTACAGACGTTTGTGTGGGCAAGCAAGGAGGCGAGCGAGGCAAGGCTGTGGCTATGTATGATGTTGAGCGGTGTCTATACCATCATCGGCCGAGCAGCGTCATTAAGGCCCCGGTTGAGGCCTCGGGGCGAAGCGGCGTTTGTTCTGCGAGGGCGATTCTCTCAAGTCCACTGTGACGGGGGCTCGCAAAAGCAGAAGCAGAAGCAGGGAATCGGAGCTTTTCCGTTTCGAGGAGGTCGCGCATAAGCAGCCTACAGAGTTGCTGGGGTTGAATCGTGCGTTTTGTTTAGTACAAAAGGTATCATGCTTGGAGCAGACAAAGGCCGGCCCACGCCAATCGCGGTTCCCATGGGTAGGATAGATAGCCCACGATGCTATCATGTAGCACTGGAGGGCGCCATTGAAAGCTACTTCGGACGACAACTCCGTTTACCCCCGTGGTGAAGGGCCAGCCAAGGCTCACGGATATGTAATGCGGAGTACCTGTCCGTACGCAGTACTTCGTCCCTAGTAAAAGGCAATGAGAGAAGGACGCTGATCAACCAATGTCGGCTGGAAAACTAGATAGACTAGCCGACCAAGTGGAGAAGGTATGGGGCGCACCGTTGGACTCCTCGCGTGCTTGGGTTGTCGAATACCTACCTGTTTGATTGAGGAGTAAAGTAAGGAAGATGACATAAAGGTTGTGTATTTGACAAATAAACCATCATACTGGTTACAATGACACAGAGAGAGGTATGGACGTCAAGTGAGAACCTTCATGTCCTCGTCGGCGTTAAGACGGACAACATAAAGTGGGGCGGGCGTTGTCCCGGTGCCCCGCAATCGGCTGGTCTGTGCACTCGGCCGACAGCACGATCCACTTCTGACCGTGGTTTTAACAGGTTCCCAGGACAGCCGCCAGCACGTCGCAAACAGCTGGGGGTACCGAAGTAGCGTACCGAAACGCGTCGCTAAAGTCTGGCAGACCGCGTCCAGCGCGTCACTCTGACTTTTGCACTCAATCACTCGATTCGAGCCTGGGCCACCACACCACACCAAATTAATACCTTACCACTTTACTTACCTTACGCTCCCATGAGGCAGAATACTTACTGTTTGTTACCCACCGTCGATTCTTCTGCACTTTGATATACCCCACGCTAGAGAGCCTTCCCATTCAGCCTCTGAGCCTCAAACCTACGCATCTCACGGCTTGCAGTCTTCTTCCACCTTTCTCGCTTGCTCTCGATTACTCACCGCGACTGATCCCCAACTCTCGTGCCCGGCGTCGGCCCCATTGCACCCGCCGTAGAGCCCCTCCCAACCGCGTCTACACAAGAGAGAAAACAACCATTTTGCAACCCATGAAGCCGCTCGATACACACCGTGGAAACGCGTCAAAATCCTCTTAGCCATGTATCTTCCACGGTCTTTGATATCCAAGCTATACACCCACCTCCAGAACACGCGACACCCGCTATCCCCTCCCGTCCTCGTTCTCGTCGCCCTCGAACCCGATGCCCTCTGCGCATGTCGAATCCTGACCCGCCTGTTGAAGCACGACTATATCCCCCACAAGATCCAACCTGTCTCCGGATATGCCGACCTCGAACGCGCCGGCCGGGACTTGGTCCAGCCCATGATGGAAACGCAAGGAGGGAGCGGAGGCGTTGTTGTGTGCCTCGGCCTCGGCGGCATGGTTGATCTTGGAAGCCTGCTCGGACTGGAACCCGAGGGAGAGGAGGTGACCTTTGGCGGTGTTGAGGTCTGGGTCATGGACTCGCACCGTCCGTGGAACTTGGGCAACGTATTTGGTGGCTTCCCATTGGAACCCGCCGTCGAAGAAGGTGCCTCGCTCCAGTCCAGGTGTCCGCCAGGCGTGGTGGCTGGTCGGATTGATCGCGCCTACAAACCTGGCAAGGGAGGTATTGTCGTGTTTGACGACGGCGACATTGAGGATGACCTCGCCGCGGAAAAGGAAGCTTACCTTGCCTTGCTTGATATGCCCGAAATCGATGAAGACGGCGAGGACTTGGACTTGGACGACGACGAAGACGATGCCGAGGACGAGGATCTTTTCGAAGAAGCAGCACATGCTGGCCAGAAGCGGAAAAGCTGGTCGGACCGCGACGAGGAGGACGAGTCCAGCGATACAGACGACAGGCCACATCAGCGGAGAAGAAGCAATTCTGTGAGTTTCAAAGTGCCGTTCTGTTTCGATGCCACTAACACATAGCAGTCTTCCTCGATTCCCTCATCGCCAAGACGGCCAGCTCACAGAGGGCTCGTATCACTCCGAGACGCCGGCGTGGTTCTCTCTAGCGATCCCCTGGAACCTCCATCGGCTGCTCAACCGCCGCCCGCGCCGTCTGCCAGGGTCCTGCGACGCCGCTTGTTGCGTCTGCGGAGAGAAAAAGAGACCATCCTCCGCAAATACTACAAGATTGGTGCTTCCTTTTCCGAGCCGATATCCTCCATGATGTACTCCCTCGCGTCGGAGCTCGGCCGGGACGACAACGACCTCTTGTGGCTCGCAATTGTTGGTGTCACTTCCATGGAGTTGTACGGAAGGTCATCTGCAGGTATCGCGGTGCCTGTTCGCAACTCGGACCGGGGACAAGGGAACGGCTGGATGGGTGTCCGCGGCGCACGTATCCGCCAGCTGCTGAGAGACGAAGTCCGACGTCTGAATCCGCCCGAAGTCATCCGCGGCCGCCCTGCTGCTGCTGAAAACTCTGGCATCATTCCCACCACGGCTCGCAGCCCCGAAGACACAAGCATCAGGCTGTCGCCAGAGCCCAAGTTCCTCCTCATCAGGCACTGGAGTCTGTACGACAGCATGCTGCACTCGCCGTACCTCTTTGCCCGGCTCAAGACGTGGAGCGACACTGGTCTGAAGAGGCTCCACAAGCTCTTGGCCAAGATGGGCGTCAGTCTGGTTCAGTGCAAGCAGAGCTACACGCACATGGACATGATGCTGAAGAGGGAGCTCCGCACAAAGCTGCTCAAGTACGCGTCTCTGTACAACTTGGACGACATGGTTCCTTCGGTCGACACGGACGGAAGAGATCGCGCCGGTGCAAAGGACGGCTGGGGCTTTGTACGCAGCTGGGGCTGGCGTGCGACTCTGAGCGCGCAAGATGTGGGCGTCGTCATTGGTGCTCTTCTGGAGGTGGGCAAGCACAACGACGTCGCCGAGCTCGCCCAAGCACCAAAAGACCAGTTTGAGGATGTGGACGACGAGGAGGTCGTCGCTGCGCAGGGAGAGAAGTGGGTTGCGCGTTTCTGGGAAGCATACGACGCTTTGGAAGAGTGAGTGATGTCCTGGACACCTTAAGAGAAGCACCTACTAACACCAACCAGCATCGATGCTCTCAAGGCAGGATTGCCAACCGCCCAATTCCTCCACCGCGCAATCTACCGCACCGGCACGTCACTCATCAACAAGAAACAGATCAAGCACCTCAGGGCATTCCGCATGTGCGTGGTCAAGGAAGGCCCCGACGTGCCCGTCTTTGGCCACCCGGCCGCGCTGACCAAGCTCGCCCTCTGGGTCGGCGAGGCCCTCGTCGAGCAGGAAAAGGACACCACGGGCCGACTCTCCCACGGCGGACGCGGCACGCCCCTCGTTGTCGCCAGCCTCAACGACAAGCGCGGCGTGTACTTGGTCGTCGGCACCGGCGGCGGCGGCGGCGGAGGGCCGGATACCACGTTCCTCGACCGCTTGGCCGCCAAGAAGCGGCAGGCGGCCAAGGAGGAGAAGGCGAAGCAGCGGGACGAGTCACGGCGCAATAAGCAAAAGATCCGCGAGGAGAAGCGTGCGGCGCGGAGGGCGGCGGGGGATGACGACGGAGACTACGACGAGCTCGATACCGAGTCGGAGGCGTCTGATGCCTCGGACTCGGACGAGGAAGAAGAAGAGGAGGAGGATGCCAAGGAGAAGGGCTACGGCCTCAACCGCTTCGGATCGGCGTTCCAGGAGGTCGTGGCGGAGACGAATGCCCGGGTGCGGATAGACAGCTTTGAGCACTGCGTGGTGGAGGTCAAGAAGGAGGATCTGGGAGGTTTCCTGGAGAGTCTGAGCATGAAGGCTGTTGTCGGGTAATTGATTCGGTGGGGTGGGTTGATACACACAAAAAGCAAATCGATGGGTTGGGTTTAAGGGGGGTTTGGGTGTCGTGCTTGGGGTGCTTTCAACGCATGGCGGTGTCAATTCTGTTTCTTGTCATTTGGCGATGATGGAGGGGGGCACGGCATCGAAGGGAACTCGGGCTCTGGGAGGATAAACAAGCTTCATGAGACATGGGCATTTGAATCATTGTGTGCTTTTTCTTTCTTTCGTCGCTAATCACTTCCTTTCGCTTTGTTGCATTTAGGGGGGTTTGGGCGGGAAGCAAGTCTACATACTATTAGGTTGTTTTTCGGCCACGGCGTTTTATATGGGCAGACCCTTTACGAATCACCCCGTTTCGTCTTCTGCTCTTGTGAGCGTGACGCATATACACATACATACACACACTATTGAATGCCTTGTCCTTTTGCTCGATGCCAATCAGGATGGAATCCAGTCATGTGTCCTCGGCGCCGCCGTGCCGCGGCGTAGAATGGATTTTGATCAAGGCACCAGGGAAAAAGGATTAAAGCCAGCAACCAACCAGACGGGACGACGTGATAATGAGGGCGCGCTGATAGGACCAGAGAACGAGCTGAGGTGTAAGCACTGGGGGGCCGAGGGCTCTTGTTTGGATTGACAAGACGACGTGTTGCAGCGTTGGGTGCTCTCGTCAGCACTTTGAATCCTTCATCTTACCTTTTTGCGAGAACACGTCTGCCAGAGGGATTACTTGGCTGGCGCTACGTGTACGCGCTTTTGCCATGGATTTGGATAGCAAGAGCGTTGTTGTGCGTGGACGAGGTTGGTATAAAATGAGGTTCTCACCGTCCGCCCTCATCTGGACGACACTCATTTCTCTCGCAAGCTCGGCTCACTCAATATCAAATCATGTCTGGAAAAAAGCCTTGGGCCGACGGGCCGTTTGAGCTCATTAGCAGCACCCGCGCAACCAAAGTAGGTCCCTGTGAAGTCATCAAGGCTCGATGAATGCTCATTCTACAAACAGAAAGGAGTCAAGACGGCAGGGGCGAACCGCATGGCTGAAGAAATGACCATTATCCACAACCTCATCCTCCGGATTATCAACACTGTCTACTTGCAGTGCATCAACGTGGAGAAGTCGCCCGACGTCGTCCAGGACTTTGTGTCTTACGCGATAGAATGGAGCAAGATGGTGGAGGAGCACCACGGAATCGAAGAGACGGAGGTCTTCCCCGAGATTGAGCAGTTGGCGGGCGTGCCGGGGTTAATGCAGGCCAACGTCGCGCAGCACGAAGCTTTCCACGACGGCCTGCACGCGTACATGGGCTACTTGGACAAGATTCAAAAGGGCGAAGAGGCGTACAGCGGGGTCAAGCTCAAGGGCATCATCGACTCGTTCATGCCCGTCCTGCGACAGCACCTCAGCGATGAGATTGACACGCTGCTGAAGCTGGCCGAGTACGATCGCGACTGGGAAGAGTGGTATGAGAGGCTCATGAAGAAGCTGCTCGCCAAGATGGGTGATCCCAAGATCAAGGTGAGTATCCGTACATGACTTGACCTCTTTGATGGGGTCTCTGGAGACTTGGAGATGACTAACGTATGCTGGGACAAGACGACGATACTTCCACTTCTTTTGACAAACCGAGACAAGACGTTCGAGGAAGGTGTTTATGCGTGGTGGCCTCCGGTGCCGTGGTTCGCGTTTCTGATGATGCGCTGGTTTTACATACCTCCCCACAAGAACTGGTGGCGGTTTTCTTCGTGCGACAACCGGGGCGTGCCAAGGGAGCTTCCTTTTGCGTGATGGGCTCCGAAGTGGACAAAGTAGTGTATTGGGACCGGCGGTCGGTGGAGTTTCTCGGTGGTTGAGTGGCCGAGCCTCATTGATCGGACGAGGAGGGTCCCCGTGGTGTTGTCCAGGGTGCAAGGGACCGGTAGTTGGGATGGTGAGGCTGGCTTTGGTCTGTCTGGTCCAGAGTTTGCTTCGAGTCTGAAGATGTATGTGCGTGGCAGGCTAGCTGACAAAGTGTGGCTGAGTGGTCTCGAAGTGAGGGCAGCTGGAGGCCGTCTTGGAGGTGTGGTTGAGATTGAGATCGTGATGTGGGCAAAGGCCGTGAGGGAGCCTTTGGAGGCTTAGAGAGAGCGAGGAGTGTTGAATACGTAGTTAGGCGCCGGTTAGAAAGGTCCAGGTAGGAAGCACGGAAGGCACCTAATCCTTAGGATTGACACTTGGTAACGTCATGCGGGCACATATCCCAGTCGACATCGACACCATGTACGAATAACCCGAGGGAAGGAGAGACTGTGAACCCTGTGGTAATCGCGACCTCCCGCCCATTGGGGTTCTGGCTTGGGGGCTGAGTCCATGAGCCGACGTCTTAGTGGGCGAAGCGCCAAGCCCCTGCTTCTCAAGGTCGACGTTGACGACCACTCATCGTCCGAGGGCTATTTGTGGGAGGTACACGATACATGGCCTTCGCGGCGCATTCCTCGTTGGTGTCGGGTGTTTCTTCATGTTTCCTGACACCCTGAATGAACCGTGCTCAACGGTACTTGACCATGAAGAACAACCTCGGCAAATCAAGCCAGATTCTGAACTCATAGAATAACTTCATCTCAAATGTTGCTCGCAAAGGTATGGTCTCATTCAGAGAGGTCCGAAGTCGAGGACGAATGGCACGTTGGAGGGATCCCACGACGCAAAGTCAATTACTGTGTAGTGTCGTCAGTCGTCACCCTACAGATGTGGCAGGTGGCGGGTGTTAATAAAGCACTACCTCACGCTACAGGCACCCCGGTCAATTCTCTACCAAAGTATTGTATTCGCCGCGACATGACTGGATAGCGCACACAGACGAGCTCCTGTAAGTTGTAACCACTCTGCCACTGGACAGATGCAATGTCCGTCACTGTCATTCCTTGCCTTTGGACTTTGGTATCCGTACATGCAATTACCTGCGCTGTTTTCACACATGGCACGATGCTTGGATGCTTTGCAGAGGGCCCCGTTGATCATTGCTGCGTCTCCTTCCGAGTCCTTCGCCTCCCGCCGCTGTTACCTGCCAGTGCTGCCGTCCCGTGCTTGCGTGCCTGCCACCTGCTACGTGTGCCTGGACCTGTGTGCGTGGCGCCCGCCCATAGCTTCAAAACTTTGCTTACCTTATCTGTCAGATTCGCACCCGGCTACAACGCTTTCCACCGACGACTTTCCATTTCCTCTGTACAACACAACTCCCGCGTATTCTTCATCCAACTCTACAACTATTACGAAGCATCTTCTTTCTCTTCATTGTTTATCCTCTTATGATTTCAAGATTCGCAACCTCGTCACAAACTGCCTCTGCTTGCGCGTCTACCTACAACTGGCAACCCAAAAAGCGCACGTAAAGGAATCCATAAACCTGCCGGTCTAGCCCGACAACCAGGTCAAGAGTCAGTACTTCGTACTCCGTCCTCCTAGCGGTTCCCCGTTTATTTACGTCTTGGCCACCTCGTTCTCTGTGGACGCCCGGTACCGTCGCCTTTACTTTCGTACAGGGAGCCGCCCATCCCCCGCCGCCAACTTTCCGAGCAATCATCGGGTCCCGTCCCGCCAGCGTCAGAAGCAAGCCCCTTGCACCAGCAAAGTGCCTGGCCACCACCACCGACAGGCGACAGCATCCTGGGCCCTTTATTTCTTTCCCCTCCCCCGCTCTTCAAGCGCAACTCTGCATCTGTCGCCAGCCTTGCTCATCCTTTGAAGTCGTCGACCACGCGCCGCTCCCTCCCGCCGTCGCCTAAAATCCACGATCCGTTCGACTCAACACTTTTCCTTTCCCTCGGCGACCAGTAGTGCCTTTTCGCCTGCGCCGGCATCGGCCCACCCGTTCCGAGCGACGACACTGTGTTCTTGCCGCCGACGCCGACGCCGTCCCACGACTCACATCGCGACAAACGCAGGCCACCCACCACTACGCAATCCCGCCCTTCCGCCGATTCTGAGCCAAACCTGCCCCCCCGACTCTCGCATCTGAAGTAGTCGTCGAGGCTCGTAGATAGCCATGGGCAAATCGTGAGTCTGCCCCGCCCACCAAACATGCCTTTTCTTGGGGTCCCATCATGAAATGGTCCGCCGAGGAGACGTCATGTTGAGGCGATCCGCCTCTTCGGAAGCATGGAGCACCCGCGCTCGATCGTCAGACTCACCAGCTGATACCATTTCTCTGTCTAGTCAGTCCAAGCTCTCCCAGGAGCAGCTAGCTGAACTGCAGAAGTCCACCCATTTCGATAAGAAGGAGTTGCAGCAATGGTACAAGGGTATGTCAGCCACGATTTTCATGCTTGATTCGATTCTTGCGTTTTCGCGCACGGCGGCCAAGGCCTGTTTTCTTTGTATCCGAGTCTTTCAAATACTGACAATCCGTGGCAGGCTTCCTCAAGGATTGTCCCTCGGGCATGCTCACCAAAGAAGAGTTCCAGAAGATATATAGGCAATTCTTCCCCTTCGGTGATCCAAGTTCATTTGCAGATTATGTCTTCAATGTCTTTGACAGCGACAAGTCCGGTAGTATCGACTTCAAGGAGTTTATCTGCGCCCTCAGTGTTACCAGCCGAGGCAAGATGGAGGACAAACTCGACTGGGCCTTCCAGCTGTACGACATTGATGGGGACGGCAAGATTAGCTACGACGAGATGCTCAAGATCGTCGAGGCAATCTACAAGATGGTGAGTCTTTTCTGTGCGGACCGAGGCGGTCGCATGGTGCTCTGATTGAGTTCGCGATCTGCGGCACCCGCCTGCCTCCCAGACGAGATGCAGAATGCTGACAAAGATGACTCGCAGGTCGGCTCCATGGTTAAGCTCCCTGAAGACGAAGACACCCCCGAGAAGCGCGTACGGAAAATCTTCCGCATGATGGACAAGGACGAGAACGGCAGCCTGGACATGGAGGAGTTCAAGGAGGGAAGCAAACGTGACGAGACCATTGTATCGGCACTGTCTCTCTACGACGGCCTGGTGTAGTGTGGCGCGGAGGAACACTGAAGAGGGCAAAAAGGGAACTCCCATGCCACCGCCACGCCCTCGGGTCTGTTTTCATGATTATATGTGTTTTTGGGCAAGGCGAGCTGCGCGCAGTGATCAAAGTGCGACTTTTATTATCCAGGGCTAGCAGGAATGGTATTCCAATGATTTACTGCGACCTATTTTATTTGCCTTCACGTTCCTATCGTGAGCCGTCGTTTCGTGGACAGTGACTGTGCAGAAAGGGAAAGAAAGAGAGAGGACGGTTGTAAGGATATACAGCCTGCTGTCGGGTCATGGTGATAAGTACCCCCGAAACTCCCGCCGGCACGGCATCCTCGGGCCCAGAGACCGGGACCCCGACTCGGCCCGGCCGGCTTCAGGTGGATGACAAGCCATCGGCACCATCCAATTCTCCGCCACATTCACACAACGCAACGAATCACACACTGAGTGATGAGGAACGAGGTAGACAGACGCCGTCGAATAAAACTGAGCTAGATTAAAAGAAAACACATCCTTGACTCGACCCATAAGACCCGCCGAGATACTGATGGATAAGGTAGAGGTAGAGGTAATCGTTGTTACAAGGTTGGACGCGCGCGCACACACACACTATACTCCTGGATATCAAGCGTCCCGTAGCCAACCCAACCCGTTGCCGCAAAATTAGGGGAGAATTACAAGATCAAACCACATGATCAAACGTGACGGAAACAGTCCGGCCCTTTCAAGACGAACCGTAGGCCTTGTTCACCTCGTCCTTGTACTTTTCGAGGATCTTCTTACGCTGAAGCTTCTGTGCGGCCGTGACCAGGTCCTATATGATACGTCAGCAACTTGAGTTTGGCAGTCTCGAATCGAAATAATACTCACATTTTGTGGTGTCCACTCCTCGTCCGACATGACGACGCCCTCGATAATCTCGATACCAGAAAGGCCACCTGAGCGGCCGGCGTTCTGCAACTCCTTGAGGACGGCGCTCTGCAACTTCTTGTCGTGCACCAGCCCCTCGAGGTTGCTGCCCTGGACGCCAATGCTCTCTGCGAGCTTGATCAGAGCCGGCTCAGCAGGCACAATGATGGCGATGGGCTTAGCCTTGTTGGCGTCGGCGTAGATGCAAATGTTGGCAACCACCGCAGCAGCGCGGTAGATGGACTCGAGCTTCTCGAGCGCAATGTACTCGCCGTTGAGAGTCTTGACCAAGTTCTTCTTGCGGTCAATCAGCTTCAGGTGACCCTGGCTGTCAAACTCGCCAATGTCGCCCGTCTTGAACCAACCATCCTCGGTGATGGCCTCCTTAGTCTCCTTGGGGTTCTGGTAGTACTCCTCCAGAACGGAGGGTCCACGAATCCAAACCTCGCCCTGAGGGTTGGGCTTGTTGGTGGCGTAGTAGCCGGCCTCGGCAAAGTCAACCAGCTTGATCTCAATGGACGCGGGCATGGCGCCCATGTTGTTGACGCTGAACTCCAAGGGGTTCGTCAGGCAGCCCATGGCCGTCGTCTCGGTGAGACCGTAGCCGATAATCATCGGGGCAATGGCCATTGAAATGAACTGCTGGGTTTCCTTTGCAATGGGACCGCCTCCGTTCATGCAAAGCTTGAGACGACCGCCGGTGGCCTCCTTGAGCTTCTTGAAGACCACGGAATCGAGCACGCCAGTGCCGGGAACACCGAGGCTCATCATGTGCTGCTTGGCAGTAAGAGCGTTCCAGAACAGTGTCTTGACGAGGGCGCTACCGGCGTTGACCTTGGCGATGATGCCCTTCTTGACAGTCTCCCACACCGCGGGGACACCGACCATGACGGAGGGCTTGAACTCCCTAATGTCACCGGCGCAGTTGCGGACAGAGTTGTCGGACAGGGTCTTGGGGTTGCCGTAGCCCATGGTTGTGCCCCAGTAAATGCAGGCGTTCTCGAAAACGAACTCGAGGATGTGAGCGAGCGGGAGGTAGGTCAGAAGGCCATCGCCGGGGCCAATGAAGGGCTGCACAACGGCACTAACACCAGCAACTTTGTCTCGTCAGTACGATGTCGCTTACATTCAGGAATTGCACTTACCAGCAGCCACGACAGCCTTGTGCTTCAGGGGAACACCCTTGGGGGTGCCGGTTGAACCAGAGGTGTACATGATGCAGCACAGATCCTCGGTGGTGGGAGGGACGGGGTCGACCATGTTCTCCTCGCCGAGCTTTCGCAACTCCTCGAAACTCATGACCTGGATCTCAGGGTGGGCAGACTTGAGCTGCTCGAGGTGTGTCTGCTGAATCTGGTGCTGGTTGTTCCAGATGACGTAGCGAATGTCCTTTGCCTCGTTGAGAACGTTGCCCAGCGTAGGCAGCAGGTGGGGGTCGAGGAAGATGGCCTTGGCGGAGGTGGCAACCATGGAGTACTTGAGTCCCTCCTCGCCGAGGGTGTCGTAGGCCGTAACCACGGGCATGGACTGGGAGGCAGCGCCGTGGGACATTGCCAGCCAGTGTTGGCTCGTGGCGGCGTAGAGGTGCAGACGATCAGCCTTGGTCAGGCCAATCTTGCGCAAACCGGAGCCGAGCTGGAGAGTAAGGCGCTCGTACTCGTGGAAGGTAATGTATTCGTAAGGACTCAACTCGAAGTACGTCCATTGCTTGTCGACCTCGCGCTCCTCGCCGTCGACCATCTTCTTCACCTTCTTTGTCTCTCGGTGGGTGTTGACCAGCTTGCGCGAGCCCAAGCACCTGGCGTTGCCGTATTTCTCGGCGCTCTGCTTGACGAGCTCAAAGGTGGTTGTAATCTTGCCGCCGCCGGGAACGGTAATGAGATCGGGGACGGCCTGGGGAAGTCGGCGGGGCAGAGTCTCGCCGTCCTTGGCCTCGGCGCCGGGAGAAGGGACGGAGAAGGGCCCCTTTGCCTGCATCCTGGGCAGGATGTCGAGCTTCGACTTGGGAGGCGGAACCTGAGCCATGGTGGGCAAAGTTGGCGGGTCACGACGCGGCTACTTTGGCTGTGTGGGAGAGATGGAGGATCGGGGAGGCTCTAGAAAAGTCGTGAAGCACGGAAGCGACGGGTCGCGAAGACGGCGTTTAGCTTTGCGACAGCTGAAGGATTCTGCCCGTCTAGATGAGTTTATTGGGTAGAGGGTGAGAAATACGGTTAAGTTGGAGGAGTTATTGAGAAAATAGTTGAGGAAATAAGACGGAAGGGTAGGGGAAGGGCAACCCAAGGTATTTGAACTTGAGGAGAGGGCAAGGAAGGACCTGACGGATAGACGACGTATGTAGCACGGCACGCAGCGGCGAGAGTGGCAGAGGCAGAGGTGGACTGCAGAGACGGGGAGCTTGGGGGAAATCTTGGCTGCCACTGCAAGTATGCAAGGTTGCAAGGTTGCCTTTGCAGGGCGAGTGGATCTCCAATGCTCCATGATGCTCAAAAGGTACGTACCCACTCTCGTTGTCGCTGAAGTCACCGAAGTCTGCACTCCACGGAGCCATACCTAGGTACATAGGCACTAAGGTAGCACGCGGTTGTCAGAATAAATGGCACACTTGAGGTAGACACTACCTTTCTACTGATATTATTTAATTCTTATTAAATTCCATCTCAAATTAAAGATCTTTAAACTATTTTTACTAAAACTTTTTTGAATTTAGTTTAAAAATTGTATATTTAAAAAAAACTAATTTCTGATTTCATTGTTTAGAATCGAGTGCTTAACTTGGAGCTGCTTGTAGGTGTGCCACTTTTTCTGACAACCGCGTGGGTAGGTAGATGGGTGGCTCAAGCTCCAGCATCCGCGGCCGCCCTCGTGCACCATCGTCCAGTAAGAAGGGACGCCTTCCAGGTTCCCATTGGTACCGACTGCAAGTTGGACGGTGGAGGTCGGGTCCCCAAGTCCCTAAAGGTAAGGTACCTTGGCGTGAGGTGCTTCGTTGGGGTCAATTGGAACGGTGCCGGTACCTTGCGTTGGCAACCAAGTACCTCTCAGCGTCACTGCTCTCCACTGCCTGTGTGTCCTTCGGCCGACCTCACAGACGAAAAGATTCGAGGCGCAAAGACAGCTGCACCTCTAGAGGACCGTCACCCATCCGCCCCATCTAGCAGCATTGGCGAACGGCCGCAGGATACCTTCCTTCCCTTACCTAGGCACCTAGGCTCGCTCAGCGCGACGATCCCCGTCGTCTGTTCTTTTCCCCGCCTCTCCAATTGGGGAGTGCTGGTTTCTGTTGTGTTCTCCATGCCTAGGTATCCGTAGACCACACTCGCCTCGTGTCTGTTTCTTGTTCCGTTGACTGTTTCAATCCTCTTCAACATTCCCTCCGACCCTCCGTACCATCATGGCTCGTGATATGAACTAAAGGTCCATGTACCTCGCCCGAGTGAGAACCGCCATCCTACCATGACGTCTTCCTTCGCCCCCTATCTTGGGCGATTCCACCGAGGCGCCCAGCCCAGACTTACATGGCCATCCCGTCCCAAGCCGGCCCCAAGATGCCCAGCTGCATTTCCGGGGAAAGTCAAACGGGGGGGACACCAGACGCCTATATTGAACCTCTCCAGGTCACGGCTTGTCTTGCGTTGTCCCCCCCCTTTACATACTCATGCAGCACCACGAGATACACCTGTACGGAATACAGGCTGTACCAACTAGGCATTCTCGCCAAATACCAAGCACGACACCAAACCCGATGAAGCCGTCACAAGAGTCACGAAGCAGGCTGGTGAGTTACCCGCCGCTCTTGGCAAATTGGTTGGCGCCTTGCCCTCTATTTCATCCCACTGGACCGTCCATCAGCGCCGCGCCCCCGAGGTCAGCCGGTTGTGTTTCGCACCCCTTCGTTGCCATCCAATGCTAGACCACGGCCGTGCATAGCTATCAACAATATCCCCAGGTAAAATCGGGCACGCGGTGGAGGTGAGAACTTTGATACAAGTTGCAGCCAAGCACCCCAAGCAAGCCCCCTCTTCAGCTCCCTCAATCATCCAATGATGGTCACAGCCACCGTTGCAGGAGTCTTTGTGCTGTCGGGTTCGCTATCGAAAGCAAGTTGACCCTATCCGTACCTATACCTCTCCCGTACTCGACTTACTTAGGTATTAGTGGCTACCCAAGCGGTTGGTTTCTAGCCCACTGACGGCCTGTCTCCCGAGGTCTGACCATGTTGCTGTGGGATT